GTATCGTGCAAGACTGATGGTCAAAAGATATACTAAAAAAGAAGGTATTGATTTCAATGAAATCTTTTCTCCTATGGTTCGACTAATAACAATTCGAGTAGTTTTGGCAATGTGTGCTATATTGAACTTAAATCTAGAGCAGCTAGATGTTAAAATAACTTTTCTTCATGAAAATCTTGAATAAGAGATTTACATGCTCCAGCCTGAATGTTTTGAAGAAGACGAAAAGAAGAACTTGGTTTACAGGTTGAACAAATCTCTGTACGGTCTAAAGCAGGCGCCGAGGTGTTGGTATAAGAGATTTGATTCCTTCATTATGTGCCTTGGATACAACAGACTTAATGTAGACCCTTGTGCTTATTTTAATAAGTCTGATGATAACGATTTTGTTATATTACTGTTGTATGTGGATGACATGTTGGTTGCAGGACCCAACAAAGATCATATTGAAGAATTGAAGGCATAACTAGTTAGGGAATTTGAAATGAAGGACTTGGGATCAGCAAACAAGATTCTAGGGATACAAATTCACCAAGACAAAAGTAATAGGAAGATATGACTTTAACAAAAGAATTACTTGAAGAAGATCTTGTCACGATTCAACATGCAAGATTGTAAGTCAATTTCTACCCCTCTTCCTATTAACTTCAAAATATCCTCCAGTATGCATCCTAGCAGTGAAAAAGAGAGGATGGTGATGTCTCGAGTACCATATGCATCAACAGTGGGAAGTTTAATGTTCGCTATGATATGCACAAGACCAGACATTGCACAAGCAGTGGGAGTGGTTAGTCGGTACATGGTGAATCCAGGCAAAGAGCATTGGAATACAGTAAAGAGGATCCTGAGATACATCAAAGGGACCTCAAATATTGCATTATGTTACAGAGGATCAAACTTACTTATCAATGAGTATGTTGATTCTGACTATGCAGGGGATTTGGATAAAATCAAATCTACTATAGGATATGTGTTTAAAATTGCTGGTGGAGTTGTAAGCTGGGTTTCAAAATTGCAATCAGTTGTGGATACATACACAACAGAGGCAGAATATGTAGCAGTTACACAAGCCAGTAAAGAAGCAATTTGGTTGAAGATGCTATTGGAGGAGCTTGGGCGCAATCAAGAGTATGTCTCTCTGTTTTGTGATAGTCAAAGCGCCTTGCATCTTGCAAGGAATCCAACATTTCATTCAAGGATAAAGCACATACGAGTTCAGTACCATTTCATTCGTGAAAAGATGGAAGAAGAGATGATAGATATGCAGAAGATCCATACCAAAGATAACATAGCAGATTTCATGACGAAATCGATCAATATCGATAAATTTACCTGGTGTCGATCCTCTTGTGGCTTGTCAGAAACGTAAGCAACATGAAGGTACAAGGTAAAAAGAATGATGTGAAGATATGATTGTTCCAATCAAATCTTCAAGTGGGAGATTGTTGAAAGTCAAAAGAAAATCGGTGCAATAATGCACCGAATTGATTCGGTGCAAATGGTCAAAAAGCAACCAAAAGTTTTGAAAAAAATAAATGGAAAAAATGCACATTTAGTCATTGTACTTTAGGGTATTTATAAGATTAGTCCTTAAACTTCAACTATAAATACCCTAACCTATTTAGCTTTAAAACCATCCCAAATCATTCTAGCTTTCTCCCAATACTAGAGAATTTAGAGAGTTTTCTTGAGAGTTGTTTTCTCTTTTTTATCAAGAGAGAAATTTTATTGTTTTCTCCTTGTTAGATCGAGAGAAGTTGTAATTCCTATTTTCTAATAGTGAAATTCTTCTACCGTTGCCCGTGGTTTTTACCCTATATTATTTAGGGGTTTTCCACGTAAAATTTGTGTCTTCTTTATCTTCATTTTTATTTTCTCAAATTATCAGTTTCGATTTTGCTCTATCCGATAGTCGTCTTTCGCAACATAAGTATTATTTTACAATCGTTCTGCGGAGAAGTGAAGACTCTCAACACTTAAGACAAAGATGTTATTGGAGGTATTTAGATACTTCGATTCAATTATTAGCAGAAGTCTCTCTTCGATATATTATTGGAGGAGGACCTCGACTCTTTATACAGAGGTATTAATCGAAGCTCTCTTTTTATGCCCTTTTCTCGATGCTCCTTACACTCCATTATTCTCATGTAATGTTTCTTCGCAGGAGGTGGCGTCTTACGCAAAGGATTTAGGAGGGCATTCTATTGTCTCGACATTGTTCAAGAGATATTTCCCCCAGCCATCGACTGACGAGGAGACAACTTGACATCATCAAAGAAGTCAGGTTATCAAATGAGACATCTTTACCGTAGTGACATCATGGAGGAAATGCCAACCTTTTTTTCTAAGGTAAAAGCTTCTCGACGCCATAGTTGAGGCATCTTAACACTTTATAAAAGTATTTTTGTGTTGTATCAACAAGAGTGGGAGACATCCCTTCATCAAAAAAATTTCCGAAGACATTTCAACATAATATTATCCATGAAAACTTCATCAGTTTTATTTTTTGAAAAATGAAATTTTGTATGTTATTAATCGAAAATATAACATACAAAGCAAGACAAAAAAAAACTTTCATTTAACTTTATTTTTTATAGAGGTGATTAATTTTATTCAAAATAGGAAATATCCCAAATTACAATAAATATTTACAATCACAATTATAATTTAAACACATAATTAGGAAAATTTCCTATAAAATTGAAACAAAACTAGTAACTTAAGATCACAAAAGGACCATACAAGGAAATATTAAATCTACCAAGAAACTTGAACAAAGAAATATACAAATAGATTTGATCGCATCGATAAATGAACCACAAAAGGGGATCAAACTATTGAAAGACAACTGACAAATCCAAATCAGACTCGAGCGGCGTGAAAAACTATTCATGAACGCAAATCGGGTATCCAAATCCAATCTGAGGGTCCAAAGCAGGGAAGATCAACAAGATGCCAGATAAGCGTCATTTTGATCAGTCGTGGAAATTCCAAATCAATCCTTAGAAAAAATATAAAAGAAAAAACGACCAAAGAACCGAAAACATACCAAAATCCATAAAAATGTTCCATAAAGGTAGATGAAAACGTGAAACACAAGCATACTTATTGAAAATCAAAAGACAGAAGAAAATAAAGATATAATATAGAGAATAAAAAGACAATAAGAAATAACGACAGTTAGCAACCAATATTAAAATTGTTGTCACCCTCAATCAACAAAAACGAAAAAAAAGGATGAGCACTACACCAATAAGAAAAAACTAAGTTTTTTTTTCTAAGAGACACAAAATCGAATTAGTATTTTCAATGATAGAGAAATTCATTCATTCATTTAACTTTATAAGTTAAGTAGTTACACTTTAAAAACATAAAATAGTATTGTATGCATGAAACATGGAATAAAATTTCAGTTATCATTTAACATGAAATAAAATTTGGATGATGATTTAATAAAATAAATATTAAATGAAATCCAAAATCAATTAGTTGAAATATTATATATATACATAGAATACCATACGCTTGAAACATTCATTTATGGCTTAAGAGTTACTTTTATCCTTGTAGTAGACTAAATTTATCATTTTTATCCCTATCGTATTTTCACATCAATTTAACCCTCAAAATTATTTAATTGCATAATTCTATACCATTCTCCTAACTTAAAACCCTATATTATAAACCCTAAGTTAGTGTTTAGAAGTAATAGGGTTATGTTTAGAGTTTAGGATTTATAATTTAGGATTTTAAATTAAGGATAGGATTATAGAATGATATAATTGAGCAACTTCAATTGATAAATTGATGCGAAAATATGATATGTGTAAAAGTGATAAATTGTGTCTACTACATGGGTAAAAGTTATCCTTTTACTTTCATTTATTGATTAAAAAAATCAGAGCTTTATATTATTATTTAAAAAAATTAAATATTAAAATATTTTTTTAGACTTATATCATAAGTTAAACCCTAAAGCTAAACGCGGGGATAAAGCAATTTTTTATTGATTGAGATAAATAAATTTTTCATGATAAATATACATAATATTAATGTACTTTATTATCGACGAGAACTTTATAATTAAGTAAAAAAGTTAATCTTTAAAATAATAAAATAAGACCACATGCATGAAACATGAAATAAAATTCCAGTTACTATTTAATATAAAATGAAATATGGACTAGGATTTAATAAAATAATATTAAATGAAACCCAAATCCAATTAGAAAATCTATTAAATATATGTATAAATAATAAAATAATATTAAATGAAATCCAAATCCAATTAGAAAAATTATTAAATATATGTATAAATAATAAAATCATATTAAAAGAAATCCGAATCCAATTAGAAAATCTGTTAAATATATGTATAAATAATACAACATGCATGAAACATTCATTCGAAACCCTAAGAACAAAGTAAGAGTTCTCTTCTGCTGCAATTCAAAGAAATCATAAAACCATCAATGGCTGATGAAACTAACATCATTCAAGAGATAGTGCAAGACGAGAGAGACGATCGTCGTAAGAAAACCAACAAGAGGTAGCTTCAAAAGCCGAATGATAGACAGGAGATGTGGGATTGGCTGCTTAACTCTGATGATCAAAATCAGGAGAAAGTTGAAGAAATCTGTTCTAAACCTAATATCGTAAAAGATGATGAGATCGAATCCCTGTTTAACAAGTGTAAGAGAAGGAAGAAGACGACGGAAAAAGACCCTCAGGTCATCGGATTACTTGTTGAGAAAGTAATGGCTCTAATGGAGGTCGCCGCAGAAGAGGACATTGAGTTCAACAGGTAAAACAAACCCGCCATTAAAAAGATCCAGATGCTGCCTCTTCTTACCGATTATCTTTCTAAGAAACATCTTCAACCAGACTTTTTGGATCATGGGGTTTTAAGTTTGTTCAAGAATTGGCTTGAGCCTCTTCCCGATGAAAGCTTACCAAACGCCACCCTTCGATGATCGATTTTGAATATCTTAACATACGTGATGCCAGTGGATATAAGGGAAGAAGATCGAAGGGAGCACTTGAAGAGGAGTGGACTGGGTAAAGTCATCATGTTCCTGTCAAAATCGGACGAGGAAATCACTGTCAATAGACAACTTGCAAAGGATTTGGTTGAAACCTGGAGTCGAACCGTATTCAACAAGACTTCAAAGTATTCGGAAGTAGAAAAGGTTGTGATTCCTTTGAACAAGGCGTCGGCATCACCATTGAAGAAGAAATCATCAATAGAAGTAAGGGAGGCTGATTTAGATTTGGAAATAGCGCCCCGCGAGAAATCAAGTTCCTCGGGGAGAGGCGGCGGTGTTGCAGTGCCGCAAGCGGCAGCGCTTGTATATGAGGTGAATCCAGGAACAAGTTCCAAGGCGGGGGTTGAAAGAGGTGGTGTGAGAAACCTAAAACAGAGAGGCCGCTACTGCAAGCGTTATATGGAGATAGAGAAGAAGATGAGAAAGTTGAATAACTCTAATAAGAAGACTGCTCGTTTGCTTTTGTAAACCTCCTTTATGATCATTTTAATTAAACAAAAATCAATTTTAGTAGTGATAAAAATATAAGATTTTTTTCTACAAATTTCAATATTTTCTTCTCTACGTGCTTATAATATGCTGTATGTAGCTTAGGTTTGCATCGCTTCTCTCCATGCTTCTATCTCCAAACTGTAGCAAGTCTAAGAAAAGGTGATAGTTGTTTCTTCGATTTAGTTGTTTAATCTTCTAATGGATTATTTTTAATAGGCAATTTGGTTTCCTTAAGCAAATGATGTTGCTCATGAACTTGGAATATGGTGAGTGTAATTAGATCGTGTATAAGAACCTCCAATTATATACTTTTTGATGAACACAAGAAATGACAGAAAGCTAGGGAACAAGGACCCTATTCACATCGGTAATATCCTGTTGCAGAAAAGGACGAACATTCATTGGCGGCGAGGAGAACGCCATATTTCGGATCCCATTTGAACCGGCCATCTTCGCTAATAATCTATCAGCCACCTGATTCGCACCCCTATTTATATACCCCAATTGAACATTCCAATCACGACTCAGTAAAGCCATTACACGATCCAGTAGCGTGAAGGAAATGCCTTTCTGAACATTCATTTGAATAACCCGTACTACCTCTCTACTATCCACTTCCACCAATATCTGTCGTTCTCCAAGATTCCAAGTATGAGTTAAGCCTTCATGGACTCCCCAAAGCTCCGCTCCAACAACTGAGCATATCCCAATGGATTTAGTAGGAACAGATCATGCTTTTATGTTAGGGAACAAACTTAAACTTAAGGGAATTTATCTAAAATTCCAGGACGAACTAAAATTCTAGGGGATAAAACAGATTTTCAATTAAAAATATATAAAAAAATTTAAATTATAATAATTTTAAATTTTCAGGGAACGGGTCGGTCCATCCCTGGGCTTTAGAGAAGCCAAACATCCCTTCGCCATTGGAAGCTCGAATCAGACCACCACAAGACACAAACCCTCCTTCCCGCTGCAAATATATACTTTGTTTTTATGCTTTTGAAAGCTTGTACGTTAATAAATATCCTATATGTTCGTTTGCTGATCATGCGGTTATAAGTGTTCAGATTAATCAAGTGAATCTATGTAAAGTATTCATATATTGTAGAATATAAATTGTATTAAATAAATTTGTATATACTGTTCAATATATCAAATGTAAATATGTGTCACGTAAATATTTTTAAAATATTCTTGTAATCCCCTAGATCCAATTTAGGAGTTACAACTGAACCATAGGGACCACGTAAATCATATAAATGGTCCATGAACAAAATTTATTTAAAAAATTGTTTAAAAAATATTTATAAAATATAATATCAGAAATATGTCTAAAATAATTGTATAATTAAAATAAAAATACGATTATAGGTGAGTGACTACATATATAATTTATCATGACTTATATATTAATTAAAGTATATATTAATGTTTGAGTTTAATATATTAGAAGTATACAATTAATAAAATAGTTTTATATAAAATATTTTTATAGTATTTAATAATATTTATATAAATATTAAACGAAATCTAGATTCTATTAGGATTTATATCATGAAATCCATTTCCTGTTAGGACAAGTATTAAGTATTATAAAAAAGTATTAAATGTATAAGTATACTACGTGCATTAAACATTCATTTGAAAACCTAATAACAACATGAGAGTTCTCTGCTACTGCGATACAAAGTGTTTTAAGGAACCATCCATGGCTGATGAAACCAGGGGCGGATGCACCAAGCCTTTAGGGGCCAAGTGCATCCCATTATTTAGGAAAAATGTGAAATTTAGTTTAATATATTAAGGAAAAATAAAATATAAATAATTTTTTTTTTTGTATACCCATTAATTTTAAGAGAATAATATTAAAATTTTGGACCTCCATTCTTAAATTGAATCCGCCATTGGATGAAACTAATATTATCAAAGAGATCATGCACGATCGCCGTGAGAAAATCAACAAGAGAAAACTTCAAAAGCCGAGTGATCGACAGGAGATGAATCAAAACCAGGAGTAAGTTGAAGAAATATGTTCTAAACCTAATACCGTGAGAGATGCTGATAAGTTTAAGAGAAGGAAGAAGACGACTGGGGAAAATCCTGAGGCCATTGGATTACTTGTTGATCAAGTAATAAGTCTAATGGAGGTTGCTGCTGAAGAAGACATTGAACTCAACAGGTAAAACAAACCCGCTATTGAAAAGATGCAGATGTTGCCTCTTCTTACCTATTTCCTTTCCGAGAAACATCTTCAACAAGAGTTTTTGGATCACGGGGTTTTGAGTTTGTTCAAGAATTGGCTCCAATCTCTTCCCGATGGAAGCTTACAGAATGCAAAAGGAGAATATGTTCCATGAATATGACCCCTGTTGATTTTTACAGTTCAGGGCAATTTTCTCAACTTGAGAATGCATTCAAGATCCTTGCTAGTTTTAATAGTTCCTCTACCACCCTTACAACTGAGCAAATAAATGAGTTATTGGGCATGGAGGAAAGCTTGAAAGAACTAACAGACCGGGCAGCAAAAGCAGTGGAGGACAAGAACGATCTTAGCGAGAAGGAATCTATAAAGCTGACGATTACTCATAACTTGAATGGTAATCTAGTATGATATAAAGAGGTGGAATCTGAAGTGGAATAGGTAGAGCAAAACTTGATGCCTTGCAAGAGAAAGTTAAAGAAGCAGAAAAGGAAAAGGAGAATATGTTGGCTGGACGAAAGGAGATATTCAGAAGTTCGAAGAAAATGAAAATGGAGTTGGAAGCATTGGAAGAGAAATGGAAAGACTATGAGGCCAAAGCCAAGGTTGCTGAAAAGGAAGATAGGACTGTTGAGGATGAATGGGGAAGAATCAAACATTTCATCTCTTCTCTACAAGGAAAGTATAGACATCCATTTTTGTCTGGTATTTATTTCGAACATTTTTTTCTTTATTTTCTTTTTAATATTTGTGTCATTACTATTATTTATTATTATTTACTTTATTTGTTATTAGTGTTATTATTAGCATTATTATTATTATTAGTGTTAGGTATTAATTTTTTATTTTATTTATTTTGGTAGATACAATAAACTCAAACGGAACAATGTGACAACTCATACAAACCAACCCATTACAATAAAGCCCAACAAAGCCCACAACCTTAACAATGTTGGGAACTCTAGACTCTAGCCGCCACATAAGATACTTCCAGGAGAAGTTTTTGATAGTTGGGCAAGTGTACGACACATGCCAACAATTTATCTCCACAACATTCGACCACGCGCCGACAACCCTTCCTCGTGCCAAAATTTCAGGCTTCCATAGTAGTATTTTGGCAAGGAAAATATATGCATGCATAAGCAAGGAAACAATTGCAATCAGAATCAAATCCTAAATAATCGAATTCAATATGAAAAAGATTTCAATATGAATGGTGACTAGATGTATAAATCAGGGGACAACCGATTATAAGGAGTGGAACCGAATGAAAAAATAGTGGGAATAGTGGGGGTACGATTGTAACCTACAATCGAAACAAATTCGAAACAAAATAAATAAAAGATCTTTTTTTATTTCAGAGCATATTGTTTTTTTTTTTTTTTTGTATTCAAAACAAATTTCAGTGAGGCTTCCGTTGAGTCACCTGTAAATAAAGAGACAGAAGGGTAAGAGAGCAAACAAAACAAAAAATAATGAAAATAAAAGAGCATTCGATTCAGAATCCTTCATCGGTGACGAGGACTTCCGTTTGCAAATCCGAATGGTGAGAAGGGAGAGAATGCCAGCGGGAATAACATATCTTGGAATCGTGATGATCCGATGGTGGACAACGGTGGATCAGGGAGAGAAAAGTCAAATAGGTTTTCCATTTTTCTGACGATCAGAGTGCCTCTCAAAGAAACATATATCGAATCTCGACTCCCCTCGTCGAGATGAGTCTTCCGGTGTAATTTGGTACCCATTAGTAGCAGCGAACGACAGTCATCAGTCGACCGGCGGTCGTGATCAGCGACGTACGGTGGCAGGCGACCTCAGTTTTTTAGAGAGAAAAGAGAGATTCTCTCTCTAAAGGAAATGAAAAATGAAAGAAATAGAGAAAAATGAGCTAAAATAAGCATTTAAACATTTTTCCAAAACGATGTAGTTTTGAGGAAGATTATTTCAGGCTTTTTCCCAAAAATAGGGTCCTTCCCCATTAATTTTTTAGAGTAACCTTTAATCGTCAAACGTAACTGTCTCGGATCGAACTTTAAATTTTTAAATTTCTAGCTGTCGTAATTTAGACTACATGGTAATCATGTGATACCAAAAGGGTAACTCAGGGTTGTTCATCCTTCCCTGATATCGACTCTTGAACCTGACAATTCTTTGGTAAGATGCAAACCTAGTAAATGGTAAGTAGGTGTACAATATACCTAACTTGATCGGTGGTGACTCCATCATGATTCCAAGTCGAGCGTGAATCTTGGATCACTCGAATGACCATTGCGACAACTTGGCAACTCCGCTGGGACTTTTAGAGTCAAGCCAAAATCGATTATCCAATTGTATTCTTGTGCAAAATTTGTAAGTTTAAATTTTAATTTATTTTTGATTCGTTTTATTTACCTTTGATTATTTTTCTTTTTTCAAATAAATAATTGTACTGATGTTTTATCTTAGTGTTTTCATATTTTCAAAAGAAAAGCCATTTCAGGCTCTAAACTCAAGCTCTGAATCCATTTAGGTGGGGTAAAAGTAAAGCCTTCATAAGAATTTATTCTCAGTGTTAGGCCTAATAATTAGCCTCAGGGGTTCATATGTCTTATGTCTTCGTAGGAATTTATTCCTCGTGTCAGACATAGGGAAATGTGTCCCTTTAAGTTTAATTCGATCCACATAAGCTTGTGATTGGTTTAGGATCAAAGGTCTAGCAAGCCCAATAGGGCACCAACAAGGAAAACTTGGGCCCCTTTTTAGAACCTAAATCATGTCGCAGCGAGAATTAGAG